AATATATAATCTGGCATTCTAGTTCTTCACTTCCATCCTCTTGGAGACCTTTCTCCTTAAGCCGTCTGTCCTATCAATACACTCTGACTGCTTTCCTAACTAGATATGTAGCTTTCCTGCTGAAGCTTCCTCCCACCATTCTCCATTGTTGGATTAACCAACTCCTGAGTCCTGTGGCATTTTTATTTCTGCTTTATCATATAGTTCTTCACTTTGTTTCAGACATATTACATCCTACAGTGGCTTCCTTAAAAGTGATTTTTTGAAGTTAAAATTTATTCCTTAGAGGGCCAAAATGGTCATTATTTTACCCTTACCTGAATGTTTAGTTGGGTATAGAATTCTAGGTTGAAAGCACTATTCCTCTTGAATATTAGTTATTTCCTCATGTCCTCTAGCATCTGATATTATCAAATATTCAGAATTTAATTCTTTTGCATGTAATTTGTTTTTTCCCCTCTGGAAACATTTATTGTTTCTTTATCATGATTCTCTAAAACATTTTATGGATAAGCCTTGTCATTGCTCATTCAGTGTTCTGGATAGTCATTCAGTTTTTCAGTAAATTTCTGTATAAATGCCCTAGCCAGTGTGATTCACTTGGTTGAAGCATCATCCTGTAAACCAAAAGGTTGCATGTTCTGTTCCCCCTTAGGGCACATGCCTAAGTTGTGGGTTCAGTCCCTGTTTGGGACACGTACGAGAGGCAACCAGTTGATGTTTCTCTCCCACTCTCTCTTCCTCTTGTCGCCTTTTCCTAAAATCAATAAGCAGTGGTAAAAAAAATGCATCTCCTATGGTAGAAAATGCATCTTGTCCCCTTTTCTCCAGATGAGGGGGAAAATAAATAAAATAAATAAATAAATATACATATGTATATACATACACAGTGTTCTAGGCACTGGGATGTAACAGAGAAAAAAATAAACAAAATTTCATCCCTCATGGAATTTATATTCCAGTGGTGAAGGCAGAAATTAAGAAATAAACTAGTATTTAATGAAATGTCAGACAGTGATAAATAAATACAAATTGGTGCAATGGAACAGAGGATGACAGGATAATTTTTTATACAGAGTGGCTAGGGAATGACTCTGACAGTTCAGCAGAGACTAAAATAAATGAGGACACAAGCTATGTGATTATCTGGTGGAAGAGCATTCTGGGTAAAGGGAACAGTAAATGCAAAGACTCTGAGACAGAAATATACTTGGAATGATGAGAAGCGAAAGCCAGTTTGGTGGCAATGGAATGAATAAGAGAAAGAATGATAGGAAGTAAGATTGGAGACATAGCCAGGGGTCAGGAAATGTAAGGCCTTACAGGACTTGGTAAGGACTTTGGAATTTATTCTGTTGGAGTCTTTTGAACAATGTAAGTTTTTTAAAACATTTTAAGCAATCACATTGGTGGGAATATGGATTGGCATGAAAATTTACTAAGACTAGCAAGGGTAGGAAGTAGTAAGACTTTGTAGAAGGTTTCAGTAGTCTGTGTAAAAGATGTGGTGGCTTAGACTGGATAGAAAGGGAGGGAAATAGTCAGACCTGAAATAGCTTTTGAAGGAAGAACAAACAGGATTTGCTGGTGGATTGGATATAGGTTAAGAGAGAGAAAAGAATGGATCTTTAGATTCTTGGCCTGAGCAATTGGGTGAATAGTGGGTGGTACCACCTTGTTGAGATGGGGAAGACTGAGGGAGTCTTTGGGGGACAGCATGCAGTGGGATTGAGTTGTGTTTTGGACATGGTTTGAGATGCACGCTGACAGCAAATGGAATTGTCCAGGAGGCAGATGGTCATTAACGTGTGAGGTTCGTAGGAGAGTTGAGTGCCAGAGATAAATGTGGGAATCTTTCTTGTATAGCTGGTATTTAATAACATGGTTCTGGGTGGGTTTCCCCTGAGAAGTGAGAAGAGGTCTGAGGATTGAGCTCTGGGGCCACTTCGTTATTTAGACTTGGGACATGGAAGAGGATCAGAAAAGGAAAGCCAGCCTGGTTGGGTAGCTCAGTAGGTTAGAGCATTGTCCTCAGATGCCAAGGTTGCAGGTTTCCCCTCATCAGGGTACATACAAGAATTGACCAGTGAGTGCATCAATGAGTAGAGCACCAAATCGATGTCTCTGTGTTTCTCTGTCTCTCTGTCTCTCTCTCTCTCTCAAATCAATTTTGAAAGAAAGAAAAGGAACAGCCAGTGAGATAGGTAGAAACCCAGGGGAACTGGCATTCTAAAGGCCAAGTTAAAATAGTACCTCACAGAAGGAGTGCAGTCCATTTTGTCAAATGTTGTTCAGACTTGAGTAGGATGACAACTCAGAATTGACTCTTGGATTTGACAGTGAGAAGGTTATTTTGACTCTGAAAGTAGTTTTCACTGGACTGTGGGGGACAAACCTGATTTGAGAGTGTGCTCAAGAGGGAATGGGAAGAGTTAAATTGGAGAAAGTGAGCATACACAACTATTTTAAGGAGGTTTTTTTTTTATAAAGGGGAATAGGAAAATGGAACAACTGGATGGGGATTGGAATGTAGAGTCAAGAAAAGGTATTGTTTTGTGGGTTTTCTTTTTTAGCAGTGGGAGATAATAGAGCAAGTTTGTCTGATGGAGGAATCACTGTAGCATAGACGGGGAAATTATTGCTATGACAGTAAACAGTTGCAGAAACAAAGTCCTTAACTTGTCAAGTGGGCAGAATGCAGTGTACAGGTGGACTTGGCTGATTAGGAGTTCAGGCTGTTCACCTGCTGCAGAGAATGCGGATTAAGTTGCAGGTATGTTGGTACATTTAGAGGGTGAGGAAATTATCTGGTTGTTCCTGTTTTCTCAGTGAACTAGGAGCAAAATCATCAACTAATGTGGTATGGAGTTGAGGCTTTGAAAAGAGAGAAGCTGAGAGATATCTCTTTAAAAGAGAATTCATTGAAGCTTTAGTCTATATATGTCTTAGTAGTAGAATTGCAAAGTGTGGTGCCAGCCTTTCCATTCTGAAGACTAGTATCCCTCTGTTCTGAGGATGTTCTTATTCTGTATTTGATTATCACCCCTCACCACTTCCATTCTCCCCATTATTTCTTTCTGAAGGCCATTCAGATGTGGCCCACTTAGACCGATCCCCTGATTGGGAGGATTTTCTCTCTAATTGTCTATCTCCTCCCGCAGCTTTGTCTTCTGATCCTTCTATAGAGTTCTTTATTTCAGTGATCTTATCATTTTAATTTTCCATAGCATCCTATTCTTTGTTAATGTATGTAATAGCTTTTTATTCAAAATATTAACCTTTTTATTTATTTCATGATATGTTCTGTTTTCTTATGTCCCCTGCATAATCTCTTTCCTCCAGATTTCCTTTTATCTGCTTGCTTTTTTGGTCTCTGTCTCTCATAAGGCTTCTTCACATGCCTGGTGCTGCCTGGGTGCCCATTTGTATTTGTGTGTATTAAAAAGCTCCACGTACACCAGTGGAGCTTGTACTGGGGTGGCTTCATGGTAAGGTGGACTCAAACTTTTTCATTGTCAGTATATAGAGGCTTTTCCCTCCAGGGCATAAGTTTTTCAAAAAATTGGGGGTGGTGGTATATGCCTGTCTGCCAACCTTTCGGGAACAGGGCAGAGAAAGGATGAGGGCTTCCCATTTCCCTGGACAGACAGTTACTCACATCAGTGTCTTTTCACTCCGTGCTGTATCTTTGCCTGGGTTTGTGTCAGGTTGCTCGAGTGCAAGGACACCTGTAGCGCTGTGTCTCCTGGGAACAACCCTGGTGGAATTTGGTGGGCATCTGGCTTCCTGGGGTGGGGGGACTAACATGGAGAAGAACTGGTTGTCAGCATTCCTTCAGTTTTAGCCTTGTCTGCTACTCTGGACCTGAAGAACTGAGGCTCTCAGATTCTTTAGGGAGAATCAGTTTATTCTCATATGAATCGCTCCACTCCTACTTTGTAATCCACTCCCATGTCCAATTAAGTTGCCTTGCACTCCTCTAATAGCTTTCTGTCATTCAAAGTTTGGGGACTTTCTCTTTAGGTGTCTTTGTTCTTTGGAAAACTCATACACTGAAGTAGTCTTTCCTGTTCACTTACTAATGGGTTAGTATCATTTTTTCTTCCTTGTCATTTTAGTGAGGAAACAAGGGAAAGAAGATAAACACAGGTGGTCAACATATGTTTACCCAGGACCCTCTGCCCTAAAGTGTAAACAGCACAATAACCAACATGATTGAATGCTTTTGCTTATTAACATAGTTAGTATTCACAACAGCCTTATGAGACAGTTACTATTATTGTTGCCACTCTACATATGAAGAAACTAAAATACAGAAGTTAAGTAACTTGCCAGAGATACACAGCCAGTTAAGTGTGGGCCCAGGATTCACACTCAACTGTCAGGCTGTAGAGTCACTTCCTGCCTAAAGCTCTCTAGTCATATCCCGTTTATTTTAAAATCCAAGCAACGCAACATGTCATCTGTGTTCTCCTTGATCAGGTCCAGCATATTCCAGTCTCATCTCTCTCTCTAGTAGCTCCTTGATTCCACCTCTTTGACCTTATATTCTCGGCAGACTGAACTTCTTGCCCTGAACGCACCATGGTCTCATGATCCTCACATCTTTTTTCTGCTGCTCCCTCTGCCCCCAAATTGCTTTATTCTCTGGGGTACTCAGTACAGTGTTAGGTTATTGGATATTTCAGCATATACTTATAAACTGAACATTTGTATAATTTATTTCACCTAGCAGTTGGCTCATGCTTTTGATTTGCTTTGATTTAGCATGTCTTCTTGAAAAATTATTAATTGAATGAAGTACTGTTGCATTTGCGTGAAGGCTTCTAAGTCTACCAAACAAAACAAAATCAACTCAAAATTTGATTGTATTGAGAGCGACAGTTGAAGATTCTCTTGGAGTATAAGTGAAAATGTATATACTTTAAAAGTAAATGAATTAATGTCTCCATTTGTTATTAAAATATTTTCTAACCTTATCCTGCTGTTTTTCTTAATAGCACTTTCTTCCTCTTGCAAATCTGGAATGTTCACCAAATGTGGAAACTTTCCTTTGCAAAGCTTTTGTACCAACCTGCACGGAGCAAATTCATGTGGTTCCACCTTGCCGTAAATTTTGTGAGAAAGTATATTCTGATTGCAAAAAATTAATTGACACTTTTGGGATCCAGTGGCCTGAGGAACTTAAATGTGACAGGTAAATTATTTTTTCAACTGAAACTACTCATGCTAATGGTATTTTAATGTTGCTGTTAGCTTTCCGGAATGTTAGTGACAGGCTTTCATTATTTGATTCAACACATGTTTATTATACCTTAATACACGCCAGGCACTGTGGTGGTGAGTGTTGCAGGCACAGTGATGAGCAAAACAGGCTTAGTTCTTATTCTCAGGGCACGTACAGTGGGCTGGAAGGAAAGGAGAGTAGTCAAGTAGTTATACAAAGAAATGCAAATGTACAGCTGTAGTAGAGAGAGCAAAGGAGAGGCGCATGCATAGTTCTTTGAGAACATGTAATGGTGCCTTTGACCTCACCTGGGGGGAATGAACCTTACCGATTCACTGACCTTTTTGCACATTAGCTTTGATTTAAGTACTTTTGTTTCTTTTTCTCCGGATATTGGTAGCTTGTAATTTGAAATATTCTACTGATATAATGAGAACTCATATAATAAATCTGTGAAGGAAGCTGGCTGGCTCTTTGTTTCTCCATCTGTAAACTGAAGAAACTTTGTGGGACTCATACATTTCTAGCAGACTCATAGTCATGTTCATGAGCAATCAAGTAATGCAGGCGCTCCTTGAACAAGGGGTACCGACCTCCTATGCAGTTGAAAATCCATGCGTAACTTTTGACTTTCCAAAAACTTAACTACTAATAGCTTACTGTTGATCAGAAGCCTTACCAATAATATAAACAATCAGTTAACAGACATTTTTTGTATTATTGTATTATATGCTGTATTCTTACATTAAAAAAAGCTAAAGATGTTATTGAGAAAATCATAAGGAAGAGAAAATACACTTAAACTATTGAAAAGGTCTGTATATAAATGGACCCATGCAATTCAAACCCGTATGTTCAAGGGTCACCTGCATCCAGTAAAGCTGGAGATGCTCACATTCTATGTTTTGGGACATCTTCTGGCACAGAGACTTTGACACCGACAAGGAATCGTGTACAAAAATACTAATTGTAGCATTATTCTCAATTTTTTATGGGAAAAACTCTGAAAGTCTATTGTAAAAATGATGAGTAGCCTATGATGTACATACCTGCAGAAATACTACCATAGAATTGAAAAACTGAATGTAGTTGACTCACATCTGCCAATATGAGCAAACCTAAAACTTGGAGTGTTAAGTAAAAAAGGAAGTTAGCGTATGGTATATTCAGTCATTTATATGAAGTTCAAAACCTGTGAAACAACTATATAATACTCTAGTTAGAAAATAACATAGTAAGAATACTTTAAAAAATGCATGAGGAGAATCAAAACGGAACTTGTGGCAATGAATATTTCAGGGGAAAGAAGGAGAATAAAACCAGAAACAGGTTCTAATTTTTTCTGTAGTGTTATATGGCTTTATTTTAAAAGATATACAGCAAAACTGACATAATATTAATTTTTGAAAAAGCTGGTAGAGACTACGTTCTTTTTACGGGCATCCATTTTATTATTTTCTAGTCTTATCTAAGCACGTTTATTTTTTTTAAAGATTTTATTTATTTATTTTTAGAGAGGGGAAGGGAGAGAGAGAGGGAGAGAAACATCAGTGTGTGGTTGCCCCTCACGCACCCACTACCAGGGGGACCTGGCCTGCGACCCAGGCATGTGCCATGACTGGGAATTGAACCCGCAACCCTTTGGTTCACAGGCCTGTGCTCAATCCACTGAGTCATGCCAGCCAGGACATTATCTAAAAGCACATTTTAAATTCTTTCTCATTAAAATCCCTACAAATTTTTAAACCATGTAGATCTTTCAAAGTAATACTGGAACACAGAAATTCAACTCAGTGCTGAAGCTCTGCACAAAACAAATACTCCTGTGTATCCCTCAGGAACACCTGCAAACAGGGAGGCAAACAGCCCAACCACGAGGAAATGGGGATGTGGGTGAGGCCAGTCCTCAGACTGCCTCTTGGGGATCCTCTTGCCCTTCTTTAATAACTTAGGGATCACTTGAACTTTACCTTACTGATCCAGGAAAGGATTTTATTTCAGCTATCACCTTAATTATGTGGTTTATTTACTTTGCTCATGGGCATGAGGTAATAAACATTAATTTTCCTAAGACTTGTATTTCGTATGCTTATAAACAGACAAGCCAGTACTTCTTTTTTCTGGGGAAGACAAAGCAAGATAACTTTTCCTTAAATATTTAGTCTTGAGAGCAAACATCATTTTTAAATTATTAATTGATTGATTTCTAAGTAAGGAAATATTTATGTTCACTTGCCTTGCATTTAATATATATGAGGTCTGTCCAGAACATATCCAGCCTGGTAATATAAAAAATAGAGACATTTATTGAAGAAGATACAAGAGACATTGTACATAGGACAATGATGCCTCAGTCCCCTTCAAAGTAGGCACCTTGGGACCTCACACAGTTCTCCCAATCCCCATCAGCTGCCCCATTGTATTTTCTTGAATCTTATCGATGGTCTGAAATCTCTTCTCTTTGAAAGGTGGTTTTAGTTTTGGGAAAAGCCAGAAATCACAGGGCACCAAATCTGGGCTGTAGAGGGTCTGAGTCACCTGGGTGATTTGATGTTTGCCAAACAGCTTTGCACAAGACATGATGCATGAGCAGGTGTGTTGTCGTGATGAAGCTGCCAATCTCCAGTTGCCCCTAGCTGTGGACTTCTGAATCATCAGAATAGTTTCTGTGAAGGAATATTCAAGCTTAATGCAAAATTTGATGCAGATTCATTGCTCTACTCTCTTAGTCATTTTGAATGCAAGGGCCACACAGTGCACATGCTCACTCAACAGCCTCTACCACCCCCACTGACTAGTAGTACAGTGAAATTGTCATTGTTTATGCATGCCATTCCAGTCCACTCTCCTTGGCTGACAAGTTACATCAGTGTCATGCAAACCATTCTCATTATATTAACAATGGCTGAACTTTTTCTGGACAGACCTTGTATATTAGTCTGTTAGGGCCTCATTAACAACCACAAATGTTTAGCCAACTCCAAAACTTTCCACCCACCTCTAACCTATAATCTGTGTAGATAGGTTTGTGTATGTCTTCCCATCAGTTATGAATACATAGGGAAATATTTTGTAGTCAGAAAGCATAGCATTAAAAGTGCTGACTCAATAAAAATGTTGACCTTATATATTTAATTTTTATAATCTTACAGATTACAGTATTGTGACGAGACTTTTCCTGTAACTCTTGATCCACACACAGAGTTTCTTGGTCCTCAGAAGAAAATAGAACAAGTCCAAAGAGACATTGGAATTTGGTGTCCAAGGCATCTTAAGACTTCTGGGGGACAAGGCTACAAGTTTCTGGGAATTGACCAGTGCGCCCCTCCGTGCCCCAACATGTATTTTAAAAGTGATGAGTTAGAGTTTGCAAAAAGTTTCATCGGAATAGTTTCAATATTTTGTCTTTGTGCAACTCTGTTTACATTCCTTACATTTTTAATTGACGTTAAAAGATTCAGATACCCAGAGAGACCGATTATATATTACTCTGTCTGTTACAGCATTGTATCTCTTATGTATTTTATTGGATTCTTGCTAGGCAACAGCACAGCCTGCAATAAGGCAGATGAGAAGCTGGAAGTTGGAGAAACAGTTGTCCTAGGCTCTCAAAATAAGGCCTGCACCATTTTGTTTATGTTTTTGTATTTTTTCACCATGGCCGGCACTGTGTGGTGGGTGATTCTTACCATTACCTGGTTCTTAGCTGCCGGGAGAAAGTGGAGTTGTGAAGCCATCGAACAGAAGGCAGTGTGGTTTCATGCTGTTGCATGGGGAGCACCAGGTTTTCTGACTGTTATGCTCCTTGCTATGAACAAAGTTGAGGGAGACAACATTAGTGGAGTTTGCTTTGTCGGCCTCTATGACCTGAATGCTTCTCGCTACTTCGTACTCTTGCCACTGTGCCTTTGTGTGTTTGTTGGGCTGTCTCTTCTCTTGGCTGGCATTATTTCCCTGAATCATGTTCGACAAGTCATACAACATGATGGCCGTAACCAAGAGAAACTGAAGAAGTTTATGATTCGAATTGGAGTCTTCAGCGGCCTGTACCTCGTGCCATTAGTGACACTTCTTGGATGTTACGTCTATGAGCAAGTGAACAGGACCGCCTGGGAGATGGGCTGGGTCTCGGACCATTGCCGCCAGTACCACATCCCATGTCCGTATCAGGTAAAAAGCTGTCGTTTTTATTGTTTTGTGATTTAACTTTAACTTAAGAAGTTTCGTAGACATATGCTCAAATTAGCTTTGAATAAATTAAGATTTCAGATGAGAGTGCATCAGCTGCAACTGGGATGAGTGTCATAAGGTTTTTTAATTCGTTACAACATTGAAGCCTCCTTTAGCTATCTTGTACAAATTACATGGAGTTACAAAGGCAGATGAATAGTAATGAAGAAAAGAATCAGAACAGGTCTTGGCATAGGGAAAAAGGGAGAAGTGTTGTAACTTCTGAATTGAGAGTTGTTTTAAATTCTTCAGTTAATAGGGGAAGACTTTATTTGGGTATTTTTAATTTCATAACATTATCTTACAATTTTTTAGAGTACAATTGCTTATAAAAACAGACTTGACTTTTGCCTAAACCATCCTGTCATTTCTTAACTGAAAAAAGTACAGTTGAAACAAAATGTGTTTCATATGATCCTGATTTTTATGATCAGTATAAAGGTGGTGATTTCAAGATTAAAACAATAAATTTCTGAAAATAGAATAAGTTCTGAAAGCATTTTAATTGAGCTATTGAGCTTTTAATAGAATTTTTGTTTTTAACTTAATACATTTTTTAATATTTAGACATGATATACAAATTACGTTGGTTGTGGGTACTATCATCATACTGTATCAAATCAAGTCATGTGTGGGCTGAATCATTTTCCATAGTAATTTATATTCTAGAAAGTTACTACATTTGAACACAGTGGGGCCTGTTTTATATACTGATGGGTGGGAATAATAGTTTTACTTGCCTTACTATCCATAGTCTATTACCAATAGGCTGCTTTTTCTGTATATTTAAATAAGGAAGCTGTGTCTTAAAGTGGTTCTGAAATATTAAATGTTTCCTATTTTCGGTAATTTTGGCAAAGTAGGAGGAAAATACAACTATTCTATGCTACCAAAAAAACTTAAGATCTGTGGTTTTTCAGAATTATGTTTTTAGTAAAGAAAAAAACTATAAAGCATCAGAAGATAAAATGAGAAAATTCTAAACTTAAAGTGGAGTAGGACTTTGTAAGTATGGTATAAATCCAGGAACTATAATAGAAAAGATTGTTAAATTTGACCAAAAAAATCTTTGCATGGCAAAAACCCCATCATAACCAAAGTCAGAAAACCAGCTGGGAAAGTTTGTTAATACATCACATCATAGTTGAAGGACATATTTCCTTAAGTTAAACATAGTTCCTGTAGATCAATAAGAAAAAAACCCACAATCTGAAATAAAAATGAAAAAAATGTGAAGAGAGTTCACAGAAAAAGAACCCTCTTAAATGTGCAAAATGTTATAAGAGAAATGCAAATTAAAGTTAGGATGCAATTATATGTCTACTTATGACATGGCAAACATCTGAAGGTTTTGTAGCCACTGCAAGGGTGAAACTGTGTCAAAATGCACTCTCTTTGTTACTTCATGAGTTCGGCCTTCTGGGGAAAGCAGTTTGACAGTATCTCATTTAAAATGTATGTACTCCTTGATTTGGCTTTTATGAGAGTTTATTGACAAGTCTCATGAATGTGAGTGATTGAGTACAAACAGAGATGGTCACTGTGATGTTATTTGCCGTGGCAGTAGGTTGGAAATAACCTAAATATCCATTAATGAGGGTACCTGAATAAATTATGCTTCATCTAAAAAATAAAAAATAATAACATGTAAAAATAATATTTGAAAGTTTATACTTGAAGAAAGTATTATTGATTTTTATGAAATTGCCACATATTCACTTTCATGATATTTATTTTGCCCTAGTCGGGTTTTTATAACATAAACATCATTTGATGTGTAAAGATTCTAAAATAGTGTGTTGTTGTAATGAGTTTAAATGTGTTTTTTTGTGGTAAAGTAAAGGAAATAGATGAATATTTAGAGGCAGATATTTAGCAATTATACTTCTGGGACAAAAAGGTCAGGAAGTCAAGCCAGAAGTAGGAGGGACATCCTTCCCAAGTGTATTGCAGCGCTTTTCCCTTTCTGGCTGTACGTCACGACACATGTGAGGTTGTTTGTTCAGAACGTAGGTAAATAATGTATCACACTTGAGGCACCACTCATTATATAATCTGTTGTGTCAATATTTTGTAATAAAACAGACTGAATATATTTTTTGTCCACATTTTGCGTTGACAATGTAGACTTCACTTAGAATGTGTCACTAAAATTTTCATTCACTGTTTTTTACAGGTAAAGACAAAAACTCGACCAGAATTAGCTTTATTTATGATAAAATATCTGATGACATTGATTGTTGGCATCTCCGCCGTCTTCTGGGTTGGAAGCAAAAAGACGTGCACAGAATGGGCTGGGTTTTTTAAACGAAACCGCAAGAGAGAGTAAGAACCTGTTGAATTATCTCACACTTTAAAAAAAATAAATTGCTCTAATACCAAGGAGCTATTTAAAAATCACCACTATGCTGGAGCTTTATTATAGCAACTGTTGTTCAAGTTTTGAAATCTTCACGGAGAAAGATGCTTTACTTTGGCATTCATTATAGTCTTGGATATAAACTATTCTATTGAAATATGAATGAAAGATGTATAAAGTGTGTATTTTCTTTCCATGGCTTATACTATATCCAATGTTATTACCATTGCATTGGAGTTATTATTTTGGGTGTAGCACTTTAAATAATTTTACCCTGTTTGTTCATGATAAAAGATTAAGTAGGATCAAGTATTTGTAAAGAAATCTATAAAGTATGATTCAAATGTGATGTGTCATAATCATTACTTATCTTTAAATTTTATTACACGCAGTATTGAGTTAAAATTTCATTTATTTACCTTGCCTAAGATGGTAAAAATTCAAATTTAAGGAACATTCTGTAACAATATAGTAGGTTTACAGTTATGAGCAAATAGCTCGCTTTAATTCTTTCATACATTGCATACTGTGTACTGTGACCAGTGTACAATACAGCTTTTTAAAAATATATTTTATTGATTATGCCATTACAGTTGTCCCATTTCCCCCCTTCATTCCCCTCTACCCTGTACACCACCTCCCCTCATATTCCCCTCCTTTACTTCATATACATGTGTCATAAGTTCTTTAGCTTTTACATTTCCCACACTACTTTTGCCCTCCCCCCTGTCTATTTTCTCCCCACCATCTATGCTACTTATACCTTCTCCCCCTTCTCTTCCTCCCACTCCCCTGTTGCTAACCCTCCATGTGATCTCCATTTCTGTGGTTCTGTTCCTGATCTAGCTGTCTGCTTAGTTTGCTTTTGTTTTAGGTTTGGTTGTTAATATCTGTGAGTTTGCTGTCCTTTCACTGTTCATCTTTTTTATCTTCTTTTTCTTAGATAAGTCCCTTTAACATTTCATATAATAAGGGCTTGGTAATGATGAACTTTTTAAACTTGATCTTATCTGAGAAGTACTTTATCTGCCCTTCCATTTTAAATGAAAGCTTTGCTGGATAGAGCAGTCTTGGATGTAGGTCTTTGGATTTCATGACTTGGAATACTTCTTTCCAGCCCCTTCTTGCCTGGAAGGTCTCTTTTGAGAAATCCGCTGACAGTCTGATGGGAACTCCTTTGTAGGTGACTGTCCCCTTATCTCTTGCTGCTTCTAGAATTCTGTCCTTCATTTTAATCTTGGGTGATGTAATTATGATGTGCCTTGGTGTGTTCCTTCTTGGGTCTACCTTCTTTAGGACTCTGAGCTTTCTGGACTTCCTAGAAGTCTATTTCCTTTGCCAGATTGGGGAAGTTCTCCTTTATTATTTGTTCAAATAAGTTTTCCACTTGTTGCTGTTCCTCTTCCCCTTCTGGTACCCCTATGATTCAGATGTTGGAACCTTTAAAGATGTCCTGGAGGTTCCTAAGCCTCGCCTCATTTTTTTGAATTCTTGTTTCTTCATGCTTTTCTGTTTGGTTGTTTCTTTCTTCCTTCTGGTCCACTCACTGATTTGAGTCCCAGTTTTCTTTCCATCACTATTGGTTCCCTGTGCATTTTGCTTCATTTCACTTAATGTAGCCTTCATTTTTTCATCTAATTTGCAACCAAAATCAACCAGTTCTGTGAGCATCCTGATAACCACCAGTGTTTTGAACTGTGCATCTGATAGGTTGGCTATCTCTTGGTTGCTTAAAAGTATTGGCTCTGGGGCTTTGATTTGTTCTTCTGCCTGAGCCATAATGTTTTGGTCTGTTTGTGCCTGTTACATATGACGCGCGAAGCCTTAGGTGTTCACCAGGGCAGGGCAACTGATGTCACTGGGTTGTAATGCTGTACCTGGGGGCAGGGTCAGAGAGGGAACAGTGGTGCTTGTTCCGCTCTCTCTCATATTTTGGCCGCTTGCCACAAGCTAATTGGGCCCTTATGGTGCTGCTTCCCAGGTGGGTTGGCTTGTGTACATTCTAGGACCCTGTGTGTCTCTCCAACAAACTCTCCTTTGAGGCTGGGAGTCTCTCCTCGCACCTCAATCTCCTCAAGTTTTTTCAATAAGTAATTTTAGGCTTTATTTCCCGTCACTGGGGCCCTGGGTTGTGCGGTTTTTCTCACTGCCCGTTTTTTGCCTGGTTTATCTGCATGCGAATGTGTGTCCTCAGTCAGCCAACCGCCTTGTGCGTTTCACTGGGTTTGCTCATTTCCGACTCCACCCCTCTTACCACTCTGGATGAACGGTTCATTGTTGGACTTCAGTACAGTTCAATTTTTCTGGCTGTTGTGGTTGTGTTTTTGTTTCTGAATTTTTATTGTCCTTAAATTTGGTTGTGTGAGGAGGTACAGTGTTTCCACCTATACCTCCATCTTGGCTGGAAGTCCAATAGAGCTTTTTAAACTCTTCCCCAATGCTTTGATTAATGAACTTGTATGGTAAAAGTTTCAGAATGGTAGACTTTTTCACAAATAAGTTTTTGAAATCTGAAGAATTGCCCTTAGCTGGACTTTAATTTTTTGCACTGTTATTATACGCCCATTCCATATTTGTATACCCATACTAACTTCAGTATCACTTGCTATCTTTAATGTTAGAAAGAAAACCGTTGAACTTAAGCAAAGACCACTAATCACACTCTGTGTCCTCCCTTCTGGTTTACTTCTATTTCGATGTGCTTGCGTGTGGTGCTCATTCCGTGAGACCTGCCCTGCAGGCTGGGGTGCGTTTCCTGACCAGTCCACTACCTACGCTGACAAAGGCAACACACAGTTGTCATAAAGACTTCACTTTGTGACCGTGTACTTATATCTCATAGTATTTATGATCCCAGATCTTGTAATAATATATATATCTTAAAATTTTTTACTTTATCGAACAAGGATTGTTAGCACAGCTGTGTGATAGGCTTCATGGCTTCTGACATAACACTTAACATTTATAAGTAAATCTTCTCCTTGGGTTTTCTTACAGTCCAATCAGTGAAAGTCGAAGAGTACTACAGGAGTCATGTGAGTTTTTCTTAAAGCACAACTCTAAAGTTAAACACAAAAAGAAGCACTACAAACCAAGTTCACATAAGCTGAAGGTCATTTCCAAATCCATGGGAACCAGCACAGGAACTTCACCAAATCATGGCACTTCTACGGTAGCAATCACTAGCCACGATTACGTAGGACAAGAAACTTTGACCGAAATCCAAACCTCTCCGGAAACATCAGTGAGGGAAGTGAGAGCAGACGGGGTGAGCACTCCCAAACCGAGAGGACAGGGCTGTGCGGAACCTGCCTCCCCAGCAGCGTCCAGCTCCGGACTCTGCGGGGAGCAGACCGACCGGAAAGGCCTGCCGGGCCACGTGCATGACAAGAGCGAGAGTGTGCGGAGCGAAGGAAGGTGAGCCTGGATTTTGTTGTCTTAAATCATGACTCTTCTGAATACTGCATTGCCAATTTTTTTAAGGTTTTATTTATTTTATTTTTAGACAGAGGGAAATGGAAGGAGAGAGAGAGGGAAAGAAACATCCATGTGCAGTTGCCTCTCATTTGCCCCCTGCTGGGGACCTGGCCCACAACCCAGGTGTGTGCTCTGGCTGGAATCGAACCAGCAACCCTTTGGTTCACAGCGTGTGCTCGTGCTCAGTCCACTGAGCCAGACCAGTCAGAGCTGCATTATAATTTTTGTATTAAAGTTTGGAAAGAAGGCATTCTACAAAATGACATGTTTATACACCTAACCCAAGGAAGTGTGGGTTCAAGAAGTTGAAGTTCAGCCTATCAATATACTATTTTGTAGTTTAAGTCGTAGCATTGAGAAGAGCCCTCATGTATGTTGTTCAGGTAGAACAGTAATTTTCATGTCTATGGTAATTGTTAAGAGTTGTGTGTGTATTTAGGTAGATGTTTAAGATTCATCAGACATATAGGCTAGGTTTTATTAAGGTTGATGTATATTTTAGTTGTAATTCCAGTTTGGTTCTGGGAGGAGGTGAGTATAACTTCTGCCTACTCTGCTGTCATCTTCGGGCTAAGTTTTAATTAGTACTGTATTACGGCCCTGGCTCGTGTGGCTCAGTGGGTTGAGTGCTGACTTGTGAACCAAAAGGTCACCGGTTTGACTCCTGGTCAGGGCACATGCCTAGTATGGAGGTAGCCCATCGATGTTTCTCTCGCACATCAGTGTTTCTCTCCCCCTCTTCCCCTCTCTCTAAAAGATAAATAACATCTTAAAAAAATTAGTACTGCATTAAAATAGTGTCTGAAAGATACTTGTCAGTTTAGACAAAGATGATTATAAGATGTTTTTATTTTCTGAGCATGCAAGGATATGGACATTATCTTTATATAGTCATAGGTGACCCAGACACAGGTAAACATGAAACTAGCCAGAATGCTGACAATTATTTGAAGGTGTCAAGGTTGTCTTACATCATCCTCCAAAGTAGGCCAAGTGCACCTTCTCTGTGTTCCTCTAACAGCCTTTGCACACCTGGATTGTAATTAGATACGTGTTTTTATTCTCCACTAGAGTTGTAAATTCCTTAAAGGCCGAGATGAGGTTTTACTTATCTTTGTAATTCCCAACTGCTTACATAGTGTCTGATCCATGGCAGGAAATCAATGAAATGTTTGCCAACCGCAGGGCAGGAATCCTCTCATTACTTGTATTCCCCATGAGACACCACACTCCCTATGCATGGGCGGGGCTTGACAGTTTCCAAAAATTACTTGAAAGTATTTGCATTTTGAGTTGTTAGGGCAGACCTAAAGAGTTTCAGTTAATTTAGTTATCTATGGTAAAAGTGGCCACTGGTTGGAAGTAAACTCATGGAGAGTGGATAGCAGCTTTGAGGACATCTGGCAGCACGTTCGTGCTTGGTCTGTGTGTCTGTCAACTTCTGTTCTTTTACCTAGGGGGACTCCCAGAAGTGACGTTACTGACACTGGCCCGGTGCAGAGCAGCAGCGCGCAGGTCCCCAGTTCTTCAGAGCCAAGCAGCCTGAGAGGCTCCACGTCTCTGCTGGTTCACGCGGCTGCAGGAGCTAGAAAAGGGCAGGGCGCTGGCAGCCACTCAGATACTTGAAAACTAGGCAGTCTTGTTGCTTAGAAGCAGATTTGTGTTACACTGGAGCTGACCAGCACACTGTCTTACAGGAACCACTGTAATATTCTTCTTTCGTACTTAAAGCTACATTGCCTGCTGTTACACTGGAAACAATAGATGCTGAGAATAATATGACCCATTTCATACACTGTGCCTGAAAAACAGAAGTGTGCAGGTTAATAATATTTTTTAAATTGCCTGAGAGGAGGGAGGGAGAGCAGTCTTCCTTCTTTTATTTATGAAGATTCTACTCTTTTTAAAAGTATTTTAAGGTGTACTATGTTATTTCCCATTTATGATATAAAATCAGGATGTTTTTTGCTGAAGTATTAAAAACTTATCTTTGTATCTTTTTTATATATTTGAAAATAAGTTTATATGTATTTGAACTTTTATTAGAAATTCTGGAAAATCTCAAATATTTTAATATGTTATTCTGATATTTTATTTTCACACTATTTTGGTAGCTTTTACACTGAATTTCTAAGAGAATTGAAAAATAGTATTCTTTTGTGGTATAAAAAATAGTTGGCTGTTCTAATGATAATTCAACTAAAAAAGCCCACTTGCTCTACCTTATCGTCTTCAGTGTGTGAGTTTTGTAAAGTCTGGTTATTTTAGGAATGTCACAGCTCCGTGGTGCAACTCCGACAGGGCACCTTTAGACCGAGTGTCTAATGTCGACTGTACTGTGTGGCTTGCTGACCCTTCTGCATTTTGAAAATAAAATGCCCCAAAGGATTAGTAGATGAAGTGTTATTCTTTTGTAAATTAAGCCAAGGGCAATCAATTTTCTTGTTTTTGTAATGTTTCATGACCACCCAATATTATATTATTATGACCATTTACAGTCGCCTATACTTTTGTTTTAACTTTTATTTTTTTAACATTTAGAACACTACAAATGCTTTGTATTTGTGCAATATCTTTCTCAGATATTATGTAGAATTCAATTTGGCAGCTAAATAGGAGTTTTCTGAACATTGAAAAGTGTGTTAGCAATATTAGTGCCAATTAAATGGAAAAAATATAGTCCTGATACAATAAAATGTCTTTCATATAACATACTTTTAAAATACTAAAGAATGTGTTTAGTTTTGTTCTCAAGCAAGTATTATTCCTTGAACAGGTTTTCTGATGGCTTTCGGTTTTTTCTCTATTTGGAATTCTGTTAAAGCACAAAAATAAAGTTACCATGCACTGTATGGAAAAATGTTGTCAATATTAACTTTTCCACATTTGTTAAGTTTGTATACAAACACTTTGTTTTATGTGATCTTTTCAGTAATAAAATTTTCTTCACATGAGAGATTGTGGAATATTCTGTGTTACATATTGTGGTCCTGGCTCAGGAAGTGGGGTAATTTTTCAGATCAGTGGCTCCATGACTTATAAGCCAGAAGCTTCTTTTTATTTTATTTTCTTTTTTAATAATGTTTTATTTTTCAATTACAGTTCACATAGAATATTATATTAGTTTCAGGTGTACAACTTAGTGATTAGACATTTATATATTTTGTGAAGTGATCACTTTGATAAATCCAGTGCCCATTTGATACCACATATAGTTATTAATTATTGTTGACTCTAGTCCCTCTGCTTTACTTTACATCCCCCTGACTGTTTTGTAACTATCCATCTGTACTTCTCAATCCCTTCACTTTTTTCACCCAACCCCCCTCCTGTGTGGTGACCATCCATCTGTTCACTATATCTATGAGTTGGTTTCTATTTTCTTTGTTTATTTTGTCTTCAAGATTACACATACAAGTGAAATCATTTGTCTTTCACCACCCAGGGTGAGTGCTGCAAATGAGATTTCATGTTGGCCCTTTAAGAGGGCACCTATGTCTCTAGCCGACGGTCATCTCTCCCTGGCAGACAGAATTCCCACTGATTTTCACAGCCATGTATTATGTGGGTGCCTGTTCCTGGCTCTGGTGCTCTGGACTGGGGAGCACCAGAGGTTGAGATCGCATGATTCTCAGGGGGAACCTTTGCAGCCGAGACATCCCTCCAGAGTTTCAGCCATCACCCATGAGAGTGGGGCCAGCCATTTTCATGTCTCAGCCCTTCCTACCAGTCTTGATGTGGCTTCGTCTGTAAATCCTTGGTTATAAGACTTCTGATCAGCTAGTCTTCAATTGGTTGTTTAGGTTGACTATTCTATATTTTAGTTGTAACACCCACCTACTCTGCAACTCTCTGGAATCCTCCTCTTAAATATTTTAATGAAAATGCTTATAGTACATAACCATTAAGAACAATGTTAACATTTGGTGTAAGATAAACATTTTAACAAGTTAATAAAGAATTCTATTTCAATTTTTGAAAGTTAGCAGCAGGTGTTGAATTCTATCAATTACCTATCTTTTTGCTATCAGTACTAGCCAAGGTTGGCTTACTGCTATAACAATCTTCAAAATCCTTAGTAGCTTAAATAACAATCAAGTGACAGTGAGGTGCAGATGTTCTTGAAGTAGCCTTTTAAGTCATTATTTTAAGGACCCACCATTTCCATCTTGTGACTCTTCCATCTGTTACGGCTTCAGATTCCTCTGTAGAATTCGCTGGACCCAGCCCGCAGGTGGAAGAAGAGACAGTAATTTCATGGGTCAGAGAGGGAAACAGCACACATAATTTCCAGGTACGTTCCCTTTGCCTGAATTCAAACACAGACCCATGCCTAACTTCAAGGAAGGCTAGGAAATGTAATCTAGGTGTGTGCCTTGGAGGGAGATGACACGGGCTTAGAGAGCAATTGGCCAGCAATGTTTCCATCTACAAATGGGATGTACTAAATACATTTTCGAACCTAACGCCATTCTTTAATTCACTGAGTAACTCAAAATGATCATGGTGTATCATTTAATATATTGCTTGACTTGATTTGTTACTTATTTAGAGTAAAAATTTGCATCTATATCCACCTATATGTTAAAAAGCATGGGTGGCAAACACCGGCCTCCACCTCGTTTTATCTGGCCTGGTACCTTGTTCCTACCCAGTGGCAGCGCTGAGCTCCTTGCCCCTAGTGAAGGAGTAGTTACATTTACACAGTCCTAAAATGACATTCACCCCTTTGAAGGCAACAGCAAGGCTGATGTGGCCCCCAGGGAAAATAATATATTTTCATTATATCATTAAAATGATTTCTTGATCATGGGCATAAGATTTGTCATCAGTAAGCTTGAATTTTAAAAGTGTTCATTTTTAATAACACACTTCAAAAATGCCATCGAATTGAAAACAGCAGTTTTTCTTTTTCATGGGGCTATAATCTTTGATGCAAAAAAAAAATCTGCTATCTCAGAGGCAGTAGTTGACCTTAATGTTTATAAGAATTTCATAGCATTTTTAACCAAGAAATTTGACCTGAATTACATATTTACAATGATAATAACAAGGCTGGCATCAACATTGTACAGCTAAAATGAACAGCAGTAAAGATGTTCAAAACAGCATTTCGGTTTGGCAGTCAGCCACAAACCCTCTATAGAGTTTTATGGAATGCCATCTTTCAGAAAGGCTCAGTGCATCCATTGGGGTCCATTACTGCCGTGCTATTCATGGTACCAAAGAAATGTTCCCTAGATCTTCCTCGAAAAACGAGACGAAAAACACCTCGTAATTGCCACCCACCATCAAAGTCACAGTTCTAGTTCTTCCTTACTCTCATTGTCTCTGAAATGTACCACTGGGGGGTGGTTCCAGTTACCACTGCTGGAAAGTTGTAACATTGCCAAGGCAGGCACAGCTCCTCAGGAAATGGAGGATATAATTTTTGATGACCACAAGAAGCCCTGCTGCTCCTCTTCTGCATGGAAAGCATAGTCGTTAATACCTCACTGCCCATAGCACAAATCAAAGACTTAAAATTACAGATGCTGAAAGTTTTAACAGAAGCCACTGTGATCCGTCATGTGCAAAAGAATCAAATGTCATTAACTCACAATGGCAATGTGTCAACAAAGAGAAAAGAGGAAAAGATTAAAAGGCTGATCCAAAATTATCCAGAGACATTGGGACCCAGAACTCAACAGTAATGCCATTCCTGAAGGAGCAGAAATAAAATGGGGTGAGAAGAAAAGAAGAGTGAGAAAATTAAAAGAAGGAAGGACTGGAAATGGTAAATACTAATTAGAAATGAAAATAATGAGCCCTGACTGGTGTGGTTCAGTGAGTAGGGCGTTGTCCCATAAGCCAAGCCAAAAGGCCACCGGTTCCATTCCCAGTCAGGGCACAGGACTGGGTTACAGGGCCAGGTCCCCAGTGGAGGCCCGCGAGAGGCAACTGATCGATGCTTCGCTCCCTCTCTTTTCCCTCCCTCCCCCTCTCTCTAAAAATAAATAAATCTTTTTTAAAAAGAAATGAAAATAAATGAGAAAATGACTGCTAAAATGAACAACTTTTAGCAGGCATATCTGTGGTTTTTATTTTCCATCTTTAAAAGAAAAAAGGGAAAATCAGGAAAAACTTCTAAAGATGGATTTTCAAATTTTCCACCACAAAAGGAGGGGATGAGAGAGGGTGAGCACACTTAAATGCTTTAATAGAAACATGTTAGAGAAAGGTTTTCAAATAAATCATTTTCCGCCCTGGCTGGTGTAGCTCAGTGGGTTGAGTGTCGGCCTGCGAATCAAAGCATCGTGGTTCGATTCCCAGTCAGGGCACATGCCTGGGTTGCAGGCCAGTTCCCATCAGGGGACACATGAGAGGCAACTGTACATTGATATTTCTCTCCCTCTCTCCTTCCCTTCCCCTCTAAAGGTAAATGAAGAAAGTCTATTAAAAAAATAAAAAATAAATCATTTTCCAAACACATGCCATCATTGACCTTCGTTAACATAAAACACATTTATTTTCTATTGGGTTTTAACATACCTAAAAGCGAGGACTCTACTAAACCCTGCATTTAATACCTGTTCATAAATATACAATTATATTTAAAATATACTGAGAAGAGAGGCACAAAATCAACAGAGATTAATAAAAAGATTTTCCTAAACTCAAAACAAAATAAATTATATTAATATCTTCTCCCTCTTATTTTCCAGACTGCTAACTAAAATAAAACTGGTTTGTGGATTAATTTCCTTCAAGGGCTACTCTGGCATCTTAATTAGTTTCACTATCAAGAAAGATACAGGCTTGACTATGTAGTCTCCAGACTTTACCTGGAAAATTCACCAGCATAGTAGTATTAGCCCCTGCTGGTTTTAGTCCTTCTGAACGGCCAGTCCAGTGGCCCCCTGAAAACTTCAATTAAAATAACTCTCCGGAGCCTGTAAACAAATTGACCACCCTCAAAACCCTGGCTGGCCCTTTCCCCTCTCCACTGCCATGCCACTTGATGCGTGTGCCTCTGGACGAGGAAGAATGGCATGCTGTGTTTCCAGAGCTGACCTGGTTGGCAGGCTGCGGGCAAATAAAAAGTTCAGTAAAACAAAACAGGAGGACTGTGTTTCCTCAACCGATAGGCATCACTGCCCCTTTGTCGCTGGTCCTCAGATTCCGGGCAGGGCTCTCCAGGTCTGCCGGAAAGACACGGAGAGGCCCAAATGGTATATTTATGAAAGCAAAGGCCAGGAAAGGGGCTTACGGCCCACCCTAAACCAGGGGAGGCTGCTCTGGCACCGCGGAGGCAGGGCAGAGCCAAGCTACTCGGGACACCTGGAGAGACAATATAAAAACCTGTCCTCTCCACTCAAAAATGTGCAGAGCGATGGAGGCAGCTGAACTCACACGTGCAAGAGGCAAGAACATCGAAAGAATTAGCAGTCAAAGGGAAAGAAATCTAAATGCACAGACACAGCATTGTTAAGCACAAAAGAACAAGTTATAAAACTATACTTACGGAATAATACCGAGTACGTAAGCAAGCCCCACCCCACAGAAGACTGTGGAAAATGGGGCAGCATGGGTCATCTCCGGGGTGGGAATTGGCCTTGGAGTTGCTGATCAAAGCAGACTTGTGTCTGATATGTAATGCCAAAATTTTTATAAGGAGGTTCTATTAATATATCACTTGATGTAATGCAGAACTCATTTTTAAAAAATCAACTCAGCACGTATTTAGCTTGTCGTGACTCAGTGTGTCCAAACACATCCATCTGAGCGGGTCTTGGTGGAACGCAGTTGTTCCTTCACTGATAGGAGCCACACCCCTGCAGGGAGGGTCAGCCCACCCCACTAAGATCGATCGGGAAAGACCACCAGTTCCTCCGTCCTGTGCTTCTCGGTCCCCAAACCATTTTCTACCTATTGGCAGTCACCACA